TAATTCAGGTGAGCTTCCCAGTGATTTCTCTGTCTTTGAAATTCCACCCACCTCCTCCCGCAATTGTAAGCCCACATTCTAAGTTCATTTAATAGTAAACATGAATGCCAGTCATTTAATGCCTGAGATTGTGATCTAGGGAACTGACAAATTAGAAATTTGCAATATGAAATCATTCACTCATTCCACAGATATTAATGGGGAGCCCCACAAGGTACAGTGAATATAGAGACACAGCAATGGATTATGAGAGAACTCTTCACCTCTGCAGCTTCAAATGAATATAATATTAATTTCTCCAAATCCTCTTATAAAATCCCGGATGAGGCTAGTCTGTGGAGGTGATGAAACAGACTCCCAGATCCTTCACGGGCACTGAACTTTCTAGAGAACCCTTCAGCGGTTCTCTAGAAAGATATTTTTTTCTTCATGTTGTACACAAAGGCTTGATAATGGAATCTATTTGCAAAACAAGTGGTTAGGGGAGGGGAAAAAAAACTCCAAAGAAACCAAAACTAAAACTATCAGCTAAAAACAGAGACTACAAGTCTTATCTGAAATATACTCAGATAATAGAACTGAAACCCTCAGAAAGCCTCTGAGGTATAATTTGTTTCTTAATTCTCAAAGATATGAAGGATGGAAGACAGAGTCAAAGTTAATTCACTTGCATTGGTATTAAAGTTTCAGAATCACTCAAAAATCAAATATATTTTTACCTAAGCAGTACAGGCACACAATTTAAACAATCAAACCTATAATGCTTATAACAAAAGGTTTCAGCCCTTTGGCTTACTTCCCCCAGCTAGGTTAATCCACAAAATTAATCACTTCCCATTCTTTCAGTTGTTTTTTCCTGTTATTTACTGAATAATATCCACATTGTGTTATTTCTTGATTCAGCTATTTTGGAGATAATGTACTGACTTTCAGTTGTGGTGAAGAGGTCACTCACCACCATTCTCACTTCATGGCTGGTATTCAGATGATCACACAGTTATAACCTTCTGAGTTGTTTGAATTTGGCAAAATGAACTTCTGTACTGGTTGGTACAGAAGCTTCCTCAGTGCCGCATCTCTGCCACCCTGGCTGCTTCAGTTCTTGTCCTGGGACACTGTGAACTTCCCCAGATCCAGCAGCTAAGGGGACATCCAGAACCCTTCTCCAGTGCTTTGACCACTACGCATTCTAACTGTCCAATGCCTATTCTGTACCCTCCCAATGTAACTGTCCCAATTTTTACTGAATTCAGATTTAGAATGTTCATTATTGTGACTCTAAAAATATTGTTCATGTGGAGCCCATGTGTAACGATCATTACAATTCTTTTCGTGCACAACTTTCTTTTACTCTAGTGCATAAATGCTTGATTTTTATTTCTTTGAACTGAGTACTATAAAATACCTCTTCTATATAATTCTCTAGGCAGTTTAAATTATCCTTCATGTTGTCAGTATATTTTTTCCTCCTGAAAGTATCTCTTGTGGATACATTTGGAGTTCTATATGTTTGTATTCCAACTTGGTCTGACTGGCCCCCTCTTCTCCAGATCTGCTGAATAGAGGCTGTGAACTTGAGTTGGCTGCTGTCTATCTTGGAGCCTCTCTTTCCTAGATCTTATCGCTTCTTTTTTGTTTTATCCTTTGCAGCTGAACGCATCATCCAGGAGTGTCTCCAAACAGCGTGCTTTAGAGGTAATTTTTTTTTTTAGATTTTGCATGTCTGAGAATGGCCTTTGGCTAATGGCATACTTGCTTGATAGTTTGGCTGAGTATAGAATTCTAGGTTGCAAATAATTTATACTGAAAATTTCCTGGTTGTATGGTTTCAGAGACTTCTAGATTCAGGATCGTTGTTTAGTAGTTTGATGTCATTCCAATTCTCCTCTTTAATAATCTTTTTTCCCTGGAGGAAACTTATAGAAACTTCTCTTTATCAAACATTTCTCAGAAATGTGCCTTGATGGGGCTGATTTTGGGGGGATTTTTTTTTTCTTGTCTTTTTTTAATCCTTGTGAATACTCAGTGGGCTTTTTCCATCTGGAGTCTTGGTATCTGAGAATGTTTCCTGTATTATGTTTACTTCTTTATTGTCTTTTAGAATTCAGATATACTTCATATACCATATACCCACCCATTTAAAGTGCACAGTTCAATGGGTTTTAGTATATTCACCAAGAAACTATCAATACTATCAATGTTAGAGCATTTTCATCACTCCCAAGAGAAACCCTAAACTCATTAAGTCATTCCCCATTCCTCTGACCCTTTCCCCTTCTCCAGCCCCAGGCAACCACTAACCTATTTTCTGTTTCTATACATTTATGTATTCTGGACATTTCATATAAATTGAGTCATACAAAAGACTCTATGTGACTGATTTCTGTCATTTAGCATGTTTTCAAGTTTCATTTAAATTTAATATGTACTGTACTTCTCATTGCCAAGTAACATTCCATTGACTGGATATACCACATTTTATTTACCCATTCATCAATTGGTAAGACATTTGAGTTTCTACTACATAAATACACGTGTAAGTTATTGTGTACACATATCTTTACTTGTTAGGTGAACGGAGGGGTAATAACATCTCAGTTTCAGGCTCCTCCATCTCATCTCAGCCTTTTGTGATGTCTTCCATTCTTTAGTTGTCTAGATATTCTTGGGGCATACTGGATTTTCTCTTATCAATGTCTCTCTCTGCAGATACTTAGGATTGATCTTGATCTGCTAATTTATTATTCTTTCCTTCATATCCTATGGTTTTAGGGAACATAACTCCTAGTTTCATGAAAAGATGAGTGTGTATTTCTCTTCTTGCTATTTTGGAGGTAAATACTACACAAGGAAGAAAATGGATTCAATGGATTTTCATTTCCTTTGCCTGTTGTTTAAGTCAGTGGTTCCTCTGCACCAATTCTAAGTACAAAGTCCTGTGACCTAAGCCTCCATCTCTCTCCAAGTTCACCTATAGCAAGTCTCTTTAGACAAGACCTAGATATACTTACGCGATGGTCCCCCAGTACACCATGCTCTCTCATAACCACCCGCTTTGGTACATTCTCTTCACACTGCTGGGAATCCTGATCATTTGCCTAAAATATTCAAGACTGGTCAAATGTTGCCATTTCCATAAAGATGTCCATGACTTATCCCCCACATTCTCCAGGCATACATCTATATAACATTTGCTGCACTGCATGAGCATTGTTCATATGCTCATTCTCACTAGAACCTGAGCTTCATGAAGACAGTGTTTATCCTATGAGTTTTATTGTTTCTTTTTATCAGACCAAGTAATAATAGTGTTCATAGAAGGATCACTAGGTCTATGTGCTGAGTTCTAGTCTAATATCTTTATATTTTGAACTCATTTACTTCTCACAACCATATGAGATATTATCATCAACCCCATGTGACACAGGAGAAAACTGCAGCACAGAAGTTAAGTAACTTGCCCAGCGCTATTCAACTAGTAACAGTAGAGCAGAAGTCTGAACCCGGATGGTCTGGCTCAGACTTGTGCTCTGAACCTCTCTGACTTCTGAACTGAGTAGATACCTGACACGTACTAGCTGAATGACCAGATGAATGAAGGTGGATAGAGAAAAGCCAAAGCCCTCAGCAGTGAATCAAACAAATTCAGTTTTAGAGATAGCTACATTTTAAAGCAAACAAAAAGTTTGATTTTATTGACTGTTCTCTATGTAGCTCAAGCCAGAAAGACCTAGGGAAAGATTTCTGTCATCTATTGTTACGGACTGAATGTTTGTGTCCCCCCAAAATCCATATGCTGAAGCCCTAACCCCCAGTGTAGCTATATTTGGAGATGGGACCTCTAGGTAACGAAGGTTAAGTGAGGTCATATGCGTAGGGTCCTGACCCAAAAGAAATAATGTCCTTATAAGAAGAGATACTAGCACCCCCCATCCCCACACAATGCACGCACAAAAGAAGAGAAACCTCACTAGAAACCAAATTTTCTGGCACCTTGATTGTGGATTTCAAGACCCCAGAACTGTGAGAAATTAAATTTCTGTTGTTTAAGCTACCTAATCTGTAGTATTTTGTTATAGCAACTCAAGCAGATGAATAGTTTCTAATGGCTGAAGTTTTAAAAACTGATTTTCCTTCACTGATTGCAGAAACCAGTGTTCTCACTCCTTTGGAACTAGATTTTACCTTTTTGTGTTTTGTTTTTTAGCTTCTTTTTTTTTAAGGTATTTTTAAGACTCCATCCAATCTAACCTTCTGTTAACCACAGAGGTCAACATTTGATTTTCTATTTTTTCCTTCAACATTCACTATAACTATAGGCTTTCTTACTTTTCGTTATCTTAGCTAGCCAGCTAGTTTATCTTAATTAATAATGCTAATATATTGTCTTTCCCAGTGATACCTTATTTGGACTCTGCTCTAACTGTGGAAACTTTAGGCTCTCCAAGGGATTTCAAGTTTTAGCTGACTCTCTCAGGCTTTTAGAAATAAAGCAAGTTTTTCACCTGAAACTAATGTAATATAATGTCAACTATACTTCAATTTTAAAAATTCATTTTAATCATTAAACTTTCCAAACAGACATAACAGTAGAAAGAATATATCCATCACACAGATCCAACATTTTTGTCACATTTGCTTAATCTGTTCCCTTTTTTCTTTGCTAACATATTTCATAGCAAATCCAAGATATCAAGTCATTAAACTCTGTATCTCAATGTCTCGCTCAAAAAAGGGAGACATTTTCTTATATAACCATGATGAAGTTATCTAATTTAGGAGAATTAACATTAATTCTTTTGGTTGTAGGTTTCTGAAGTGAAAAAACTCACACTGAATTTCATACTATGAAAAAGTTAGCTCTGAATTGGATTAGCAATGTTCTGCAGCCTCTGCTTTAAAGTGAAATTTAGTATGTTCTGAAATACAGGGTACTGACTAAAGCTAAGTTCAAGAATGCCTAAGACAGCTCTTAAAAATACACAGTATCAAGATTTCAGTCTTTGTACATCACTTTAATAAAAAACACAATGTTGTATACAAACATACAAATCTCAAATTTAAAATACAGAATGCACTAAAGTGGCTTTGCAAATTTTCTTCACCAAGACAGACTTTCTGCCACATTTAGACATTTAAAATTATTAAGACATAATGAGCAAGTACAGATTTTCCAACCTCATGATCAGTAAATTTCTCTGCAAATGAATGAAAGTATACAGTCATCAAATGGGGGAACAGTTGCCCCTGCCTACATTGTATTAGTGTGAGTAAGGGACACAATAAAAGCTAGAAGAAACTGTAGTTAAATGTTGTACGTACAACTAATATAAATAACTTCCTCAGACTTCTAGCAATGATTATTATATCCTTGATATATAAACATCCCTAAATGTAAAAAAGTTCAGTATGATTGCATCTATCCTTGTTCCACAATGACAATTTGTTAATGGGTTAATCTAATATATATTTGTGAACCAGAATTGTCTGCAAAGAAATGAGAAATCTTGAAAACAGCCTATCAAATATGTTTAGAAGTTAAAAGGTCTATTGAAAACAAAAGTGTGGGCAAGAACCATTAGCTACATGCCTTTTTTATTTCCAAGACAAAGTCTCTCACAAATAATAGTCTTGTCTTACAAAGCAAAACAAAAACAAAAAAATTCCTAAAACTAATCCCTCAAATCCATATTAGCTGAACTTGGAGTAACAAAGTCAAAGCCAGTCTTGTCATCTGCACATTAATCTGATAAGTCAAACTGCAACGAAAAAAACCAAAAAACAACTGCATCCGCTCCTGGGCAGAATGGACGGTTACTTTCAGCACTTAAATAAAGACAACTGTTACACAGTGTTTTTTCTAAGAAAGACATATATCCCGAAAACCCAACAGAATATGTGACTGGTGAAATTCCATAAAATCTAGAAGACAGGTAAGAGGTGATAACATTTAAGGACAGTAAAAGTCTACAGTCTTAATGTGCATTGATGGGCTTGTGCCAATGGTTTTAAAATATGCTTTTCATCAACTATAGAAGAAATACAACAACATTACATCATATCCCAGCATGGAGCTACTATATTTGTATAAAGGAATCACTAAAGAGTTGTTTATTGTTTTAAATGAGGTCCTGCCATACATTGAGGTATAATCTAAATGTTGATAGTGCCTAATTTCAACTCCGAAGGAACAAAAAAAAGCTTATGTATCAAGATTAATTCTCTTTGGCCGCAATGGATACCATTTTCTCTGGGGGCAGTCTTTAGCTTGCTTTCTTTTCAGTACCAGGTCAGTGGTGTTTCTGGTGGAAGTCTCTGTTGGTGTGGTTTCTATTTGTGTTACAAAGCTCTCTGGTTTGACATCTGGTTTCCCATAACAACCAGAAAAGACTTCTTGGTGGACTCTCTGGAGCTGGATAATAGGCTGCATCTTTAAAACTTGGGAAAATCCATTTCCTTGTTCAATTAGTGCAGGCAAGGACTTAAAAAAAAACAACAACATGAATCTCAGGTTAAAACACAAACACAAAGAGAGACACACAACATTCTAGAATTTTAATTCTTTGGATCAAGACTTTTTCTAAGACCAAATTTTGGGATCATGGATGCTCAACTTTACCTTAAAACACCAGTTTTAGCTATTCCTATAATGCCTAGGAGCAAAGTAACACTGGCAGAACAGGAGGTAACAGAACTTCAGAACTAAGGATTAAATGTCTGAAATTCCATATTTTATGATGGTAAGTATTCTTTAAATCTTGAATCAACAAGAGGGCTCATAACATTTTTCCTATAAAGGTTAATACAGAAAACATTTTAGGCTCTGGAGGCCTTACGTCTGTCACAATTATTTAACTGTACCATTGTAATATAAAGAAGATAGACAATAAGTAAACAAATGGACATGGCTGTGTTCAAATAAAGTTTAATTTACTTTATTTTATTCACTGTAGGTGGCAGGCTGGATTTTAGCCTGGTCCACTAGAGTTTGCCAACTCCTGATAAAGGACATGCTATAAGAATCCTGAGAAAGAAGAACAAACCAGGTATTATGCTCCTTGACCTCAAGCCATACTACAAAGCTACAGTAATCAAAATAGTATGCTGCTGGTATAAGAACAGGCCTATAGATCAATGGAACAGAACAGAGAGCCCAAACAGAAACCCACACATATATGGTCAATTAATATACAATAAAGGAACCATGACTATACAATGGGGAAAAGACAGCCTCTTCAACAACTGGTGTTGGGAAAATACCAGATACATGAAAAGGATGAAACTGGGTTACTGTCTAACTACATACACAAAAATAAACTTGAAATGGATCAAAGACCTAAATATAAGACATGAAATCATAAAACTCTTAGAAGAAAACATAGGTAAAAATCTCCTGAACATAAGTATAGTAGGTTTTTCCTGGATTCATCT